TGGGCCTCCCTTCCTAAGCTGCTGCCCCCGCGACCCGACCCCGGATAAGCGGAGGAATATGGCTGGATGGATGAAGTTCTGTGAAATCAAGCTGTCCGCTTAGGAAGCAACGCTGATTGACAATCAGTTTCTCATGCTGTTGTGCAAATGGAATAGCCACCAGGTGGAAATTATTGGGAATTGCGGGACACACTCCATAATGGAATGGTTCTGCAGGCTGGGACCACAGACCACTTCCTATGCCTTTACCTATGCTTTCTGGCTGATGTTTTGGTCATTTTTGAATGATGTTGGTGCCTTAATGCGTTAGCAAAAGGTGGGCTGTACAACCCACACAAGCAGCTCAGATAGTGCATGATGAGAACACCATCCATGATGAAAACACCATGTTTGGCAAATTGCCACCGGCCTTTTCTTCTCACAGATGAAAGCAGGTTCACACTGTGCACTTGTGACAGAGCCTGGAAACACAGTGGAGAACAATCTGCTGCCTGCAACATCCTTCAGCATGATCAGTTTGACAGTGGGGTCAGTAATGGTCTGGGGTGGCATTTCTTAGGAGGGATGCACAGCCCTCTATGTGTTCGCCAGAGGTAGCATGTCTGCCATTAGGTACCGAGATGAAATGCTAAGACCACTTGTGAGACCATATGCTGGTGCGGTTTGCCCCGAGTTCCTCCTAAAGCAGGACAATGCTAGACCTTATGTGTCTCAGCAGTTTCTGTAAGATGATGGCATCAAAGTTATGAACTGACCCACCCGTTTCCCCAGACCTGAATCCGATTGAGTTCATAAATCAAAAGGTGCACTGCTGTATGATATTTCAGCAAAAATTTTAGAATATTCCTCTTAAATATGTATTTGGAGTGGAAAGGAATGACTCTTAAGTTACAGAAAGAAAGCTTGAAAACTGGACTCGGTGTCATATACGTCTGTGTACATACCTGCCTTTTAGTTATATCTGAAACACATGTTGGAAATTCTTTTAGAATAAACCAGAAATCAGTGTGTGAAGGGTGTACATTCCTGAATGAATCTAGATTCTACAAACCTTGGACAAGTAATATTCTGTACAATGCTTTGAAAATGGCAATAAGAATCTACTAGATGGAATTAGAATGCAAATTTCTGTTGCAACATTGAAGATATTAATAGTAAATTATTGTGTTTGTAGGACGACAGAATTAAGGAGAAAACAAAGGTAAGTACCACTTTGTGATAAACTATTAGACGATTTTTAGTTAAAGGAAAAGTCCGGTCAGGAAGGACTAACCAATGGGTCATTATTTATACCTAAAACTAATATGTCTGTGGTTAAATTTAATGAATTTAGCCTTAAACTGTAAAAAAAAAAGCAACAAAAAAAACACTATTTTTTGTTGCGATCACTGCGTCCTGGACCGTCCATTTTTGCCCAAATACAGTAACACCTCATTTCTGACATCTTCCGGCAGTGACATCACGGTGCGGTAAGCCCAGCGCCATTCTCCCCGCTTTACAAGCAAAATCAATGGGTGCTACTAGACACCCCTGCAATCAACAACAGTTATTTAAGATTTCGAGAGGACTTCACCATTGAAATTTACAAGAGCTAAGTTAGCTGATACCCACATTCATGGCAGTTGGATGTTGTATTACATCAGGTAAAAATGAAAAGAAAAAAAAAAAAATGTGTTATTCCAGCTTTTCAATTCATGATCCACCACGGATTTGTTGTTGGAAGTAGGGGGGATTTGCTTTTGAACTTCTGGCCTCCGCATAGTGCACTGGTCATCACCATTATGAATAATAGCGCATTATGAAAAACACCAGATACAGCATTGGGACTTGCTCAACAGCCGATACCACACCATGATGTCACAAACCTGTAGGTGGCAGCAGTGTTCTTTGACAAACATGGACGTCTCCGGTAAAACACTTTCAAATTAAAATGCTCTTAATTAAAAACCCTTATAATTTATTGAAAACTATGTAATAATTTCATACTTAAAGTACTTTCAGAAGTTTGTATTCTGAATTTGACTGGACTTTTCCTTTAAGTTTCCAATTTTTTATTTTTTTGCCTTATTTATATACCTTTTTTATGCTACAGGTGGTGGAGTCTAAAGATTCCGGAGAGTCCAGGTGTGTTTATCTGGATTTTTACAAGTTTAACTTTGTATATTTACAAAAGCGTAGTTTAGGAATCTTTGTAGATATGTTAAAGAAAGGAATAACATGATTCCAAACTTGTTGCTTCTTTTCAGCTCCTGGGCCATGTGGGTCATACCAACTGTTGCTGCAGCAGCGGTTGGAGTCCTGTATCGTTTCTTCATGTTTGAGCACAAGTCTTCTTGAAAGCTTTGTCTCATTCTTTTCATCTGAATTGTTTTTTTTCTCTCTTTTGAACAAACCTGTCTATTGCCTAACAAACACAATTGCAACTGTCAGCATGGACTGCTGCAAGAAGAGAAAAGAAGCTGTTTGATGAAATCTTTGTCCTTGATCGGCTACACTGTGTTATTATTAATTGAAAATTTGGCTCCAAAACTAAACTTAAAATAATTTTTCATCCTACTTATCTGGTACTGAAGTAAAATACGTTCTGGGTACTTATACAGATATTAAACAGGGACAACATGGAAAAAATTACAGCAGGATACCAACCAGATAAAAATAAAATATTATTTCCTTTTTTATGTGTTAAAATGCCTGCCATGTTCTCCCATTTTATACACTGAAAACATGTCACCAAAACTCATTTAAAGGGTGGAGTTCCTACCCTCCTTTCCTCAGTGTACAGTTTTGCTGTTTAAACCATGTCTGATTGCATCTGTCAATTTTCTTGCAAATACAATCTGTCCAGAATTAATGTTGTGTTAAATTAGTTTCTTCCTTTTTTTTTTTCTAATCATGTTTCAATTATACTTTGTGGTTATTTAAGAGAGTGTAATTTTGCTATCATGGGGATTTAAGAACATGAAATATTTTTTAGTACCCATAATAAATTGTAGTAAATATCTCACCCCTCTTTCGAAATAAAAGAAGTGTGTAATTTTGGTTTATTCAGCACTACAATGTTTATCTGATGTCATTTTTTTCTATTTATTATCATATTTCAGTTCTAAAGTGGGTGAGAGCTACAAATTATTTAGGCACAGAATAATTAACTGTTAAATTTAGCTTGTGTTATGCATCATTTGGAAGTTAGGGAACTTGATCTTAACTTTAGAATAAAAAATGTGGGTCTTGCATGCCTTCAGTTGTTTACAACATGTGATCTTCTGTTTTCCAGGTCAAAGGGTTATGCAAAAATTGTTTGTATTTGTATTGTGTATTTCCCTTTTATTTGATGAGCAGATAGGTCGAACATTTTCCAGTGGGATACGATTTATATATAAAACAAGGAAAACAATTTTATTATTTCAAGTGCATGTCTATTTATTTTTAAGGTAAAAAAAATACTCATTCCGTTGGTGATCATTTTGACCTTGAAATCAACCACGTTTCTTTTATCTGTTAGAAGTTCTGTTAGGATTTTAGTTCTACTTTTCAGACAAGTAAAACAAAGAAACATTTTCCATATATACTTGAAGATTACCTTTGAAAGTTTGTAGAGTTATACGATATATTTTGTCATTTCTGAACATTCAGGCTCAATGGAATGGTGGTTTATTTTATCATTGAAATTTGAGAAGTGTATGTCGAAATGTTGAGTGTTTAAAGTTTAAATGGCTTTTATTATTGAAAAAGCTATTCTAAATATTTCTGCTGGTGGTGCTTTTCAGAAAACTGCAGCACACTTAACAGTTAGGGGAGTCTGAAGTGGAGGAGCCCCCTTTTCTTGTCCGTTTCCAAAACTAGTTCTCATTCTAAACTACCTTTTCGACTGTGGTCAAGGAGTGTAAAAGTGGCTTAAATACAGGATTTTATAGCAAATTGAAAAAATGCTTCACATTTTAAAAGACTAGCAAACCCAAAAACAGACTAATGCATACAACACGATCAAAGGAAATATGCTTCAGTCCTTTAGTAAAACAAACATTTGATGCTAATAGAGATTAACTGTTTAAAAAAAAAATCAAAGAAACCTTTTCTTTCCTCCCTCTGGAAAGCATCCTATCTATATTTCTGATAAATAATAATGGCTTATTTTTAGTAATCTGAAGCACTTTAATTATGCAGCACAAGTTTGCAGCTTTTCTTAACTTGCAGTTGTTTTTGCTACGTGCAGCATTTTTACGTTGCGTGTGTTTGTGCTGCCTGATTTCTGTTTACATATTTTCACTTTGCTGCCTGCTGTTAGTGCAGCATTCTCCTTTGCAGCATTTTTTTTCTTTACATGTATTTGTGTGTTAGTCCAAATTTTATGTTTGCTAGTCAAATAGTTTATTAGCTTGAAAGAGATTTTGAATTTGCTGCAAAATGACCTTTTTACAGTGCATTCACACACCTTAGTCATCAGGAGGAACCAAGTACTGTCATAAGAGAAAACTGCAAAAAGATTACTCATGTAGATTTGATTTAACATTGCCTTGAATGGCTCCTCCACTGAGAAACATTTCTAAACTAGATCTCACCCTTTTAACTGATTGCCTAGCATTAATTCTATTCAAATGTTCAATTTTTATTATTAGTTTCTTTTTACCCTTATTTGCTTAATAGATTGTATCAAGTTAAAATGTGGACTTATTAGCTTAGTCTCAGAGTAGAAATAATCATTTTTCAGAGCAGGTTTTGTTACTGAACATACAATTAGGCTTTGGATCTTTCTCCTTCATTAATGAAGTCAGTGCCTGATATATAATAGGATATGAATGTCTTGACAAATGATAAAGCTGCATTAAAGCTGTACAAAATAAGAACAAAAATCATGTTTTTATTTAAATGTGTGTATATATATATATCCATGTTAAAGATCGATAATTTAACTCAATCACTTAAAAAATTTTGGCATTACAACAATAAAAAACAAGGAATATCTGACCAACATTTTGCATATTTCCATGGGTATATCTAATTATCTTTGGGGATGAACTACAAGTCTTTGAAGTTGGAAAACCTCTTTGCCAATTCGCTAGTCTTTATGCTGCTTCCTCAAATCGATGCTCCATCAGATTCAAATTTGATACCTGGCTGGTCACTCAAAAATGTTCATATTACTTAATGTCCAAGTAGATATATTAGTTACATTAAAAAATATTTTGAAACTTAATCTGCCAGGAGTAAAAATATTTCTCGCCTTCAGTATATTAAACCAAATTATGATGGCAAACTATACTAATAAACCATTTATTTTCTTTATATCTTTAATTCTCCGGAAACCACTGTTTTGGGGTCTAATGATTTCTATCCAATATTGTGCAGTTTTTAGATAATCTTGCAATACTGCATACTTTGCTAATTAAGTTGCTTAATCCAAGTAAAAGTAGCAAAGGACAGATTAAGCCACAGGTTGGTTGCATTACATGTTCAATAGGCTCTATGCACAGCTCCACTACTTCCTGAATTTAATGCAGCTCCTTTGTTTCCTGTCTTTCATGATTGGATGCACTGATTAATCCAGGTGTGTATGACCTAAGTAACTGGCCAGACACACCTGGATTAATCAGTTCGTCCAGTAATGAAAGACAGGAAACAAAGGAGCTGCATTAAATTCAGGAAGTAGTGGAGCTGTGCATAGAGCCCATTGGTTCATTAATATGGTTTGTACAGGTTAATTTCCTAATGTAAGCTGGTCGCTTTAGCTGGAAATCCTAAAACATGTTTAAACATCAAAAACATTCTTTTAAACTGAAACAGGAAAGCAAGTTATAAAATTAATCAATTAAGGGCCTTTGTTCAGCCAAAGCTGTTTTTTTTTATTAATGAGTATTTCGGCATTTGTCATAAAAACAAACATTAGATAAGGATCATCATTAGATAGCTCTTAAATAAGATGCTGACTCTATCATTATATATTCTTTTATTTATTTTTATATATATATATATATATTCGATCTTCTATTGTACATATTTTCATCAACATCAAGTCAAGTTTCAGCTCTTTAGCTGATAATTCTGTAAAGAATCTAACATATTTATGGTTCTTATTTTCTTTGGAATAATGGTCATAAACGAACATAAATTGAAAAACTAAAATGAACTGTCATCCTTCTAAAAGTGACAATTTATTCCAGGTTTTCTTTCACGTTTGTATATAAGGATTTAATAACTATCTTGCAGTTTTGTCTAAATATTACATTAATTCCTTCATTTCTTTTGAAAAACCTAACTTTTTTATAGCCCAGTCCTTCTAAAAGCAAATAGTATTTTGACCTAGATCAGGAACAGGTCTGCCTGCTCTTCTGAGCTACTTTCCCGACATGTAAGTGGAGAAGAGCAGGAAAAGCTCATTATTGAAATAAAAGCCTTTCCATCTGAAACCTCAGCAAGAGCCCTCTTAGGTTAGAGTATCTATGGCCCATAATACACAGACTGCACGACTGTACAGCCAGTGATTTACCCCCTTCTTTTGGGACACAAAAAGTCTAGTTGACAGATTTCATTACATGTTACAACTAAACAGAGGGTTTCTGATTTTGATTGAAAATATGTCGAATGCCTACAGTTTTCATTATGAATTATCTGAAATCACGTATCCCCAAATACCACAAATGTTTCAAATAGCTCTGATAGAATTATTTGGATATCCTTTCTTTAATTCACAAAAAACAATTTAGAATAAAATTTTGTTAGTTTATTTTATCTGCTTTAACATAAACACAAGATGGCAGTATAAACTCAGTGTCAGAATATTCTAGTTGCTGTGCTGATGAAGACTGAACTTCTACTGCATTGTACAGAAAGGTTCAATGTAGCTCACACACCCACTCTTTGTTTATCTGCAGGTTTTCAGTGAACACAATAAATCTCATCATAGCCATGCATGGTGATAAAAACATTCAGCAAGGACTGAAAAGACTTGCACAATTGCGACTGGTATGGTGTGACCATGATAAAGGCTAAGCACAGTGAAATGCTTTACAGTCATTTTCCAATGACAATGCACTAACAAAGCTGGGGTTTTAAACTCGTTTGGAGGTCCATTATATGAAAAACAGGATATCTGAATTTTAATTTGGAAGAAATGTCCTTTTTGTTACAATCTGAAAAGTGCACATAAGCCATACATTAGTGTTTTGCTGCATATAAGTTTGCTTTCCTCGATGTAGTAGGCATTTTAACAAGAGCAGAGGAGATCAGTGAAACAGCATGTTGCATCTGTACAAACATTAGATAAACATTACTCTCCATGACTGAGTCTCCTGTCACATCTATTAGAAGCAGTCCTTGAGGAGAACTGAGGGTGTTAATGGACAACACTTCACCGTCTTCCTGAGAGACCTGCTTGGCAACAAACACAGGGCAGCAAGAAAATACCACTTTGGGATGCAGCAAGATTAATGAATCTATCTATAATTAAAGAAGAGGAAGTAAAAGTATAAGATATATTTTTCTAATTATTTTTTTTATAAAGCCTAACTAAATCCTTCTGTTGGTGTTCTTAAAAAAAAAAACTAAGGACACTATTTTATCAGAAAGCAAAAGTGTAATATTTTGGGTACGCTGTGTGAAGCCTGCAGTTTTTTGTGACTCCCTTTTGTAAGACTTCTTTTTCTATTTTGTTCCAATTACACTAAAGATCTACAAAAAAATAGACCTCTAATGGATATAGACCAGTAAAAGCACTCAAATACTGCTGTTTAGCTTAATCTTTTTTAATAAGTCTGCTGCAATAAAGGATTATTATCTATTAATGATTATAAATTGTTTAAAATGTATGCACAGGAAAAAAAGGATTAACAGCCCATTGCAATTTATTTACATAACAGCTAGAAACCTAAGCATTTTATGAGGTATTCTACTAAAAGGTAGTCCAAACTCCTGGAATGAAATAATGAAAGTTTTAAAAATCTGTAATCAGGTTACCTTACTCTGACACCCCTAAAGGTAAATCTAGTGCAACCAAATGCCTTCAGAACTCTGGTTAACCAACTGTTTCATGTGGGGAAAGGAACAAACAAGACAGGTTACAGAGGAAACTGTGGGAAGAAAATGTTTATTGTAAAATAATATTCCAAGCTTTAAAGGGCTGATAGATCACTCTTTATCCATCATCTAAGACACCTGCATCCAGTGTGATTGAAAAGCAATACTGCACTTAACCCTGTTTTGTATTTTGAAATCTATAGATCAATTTATCTCTACTTCACGGTAAGACACTACTTTACATTGATCGACCAAATAAATCTCCCCACCAAAATATGGTGTGTGGATGCAGCAGGTAAAATGAAAAGTTAAGAGATATTATGTGGCCAGGCAACAGTACTATTTTTATATTGACCTTTTATAACTGATAATAGTATTCAATTTTTGGATAAAAATCATTTCAATCCTCATTTGCTGCAAATAACACTTGCAGTTTCACCTCATTAGATAAAGGTCAAAACAATGTATAGCAGCATATTTTTTTTTTCAGATTATTTGGGAGATTTTCTTTCACTCAATACTTGCAGCTCAACCTGTTATCTAACATGCCTCTGGTAGGTGTAAATTAGCATAACTCATTTTGGTATTATTCATCATTATTCAAAATGTTATGACACAAAAAGTACTGATTATAACAAACTAGAGTTGTATTTGTTTCCTGTTTTAATGCTCAGCTCGCATGAAGCAGCAATATAGTGTTCTCTCAGGGTTAGATTTTTCTTCATAAACTTTGAGGATGAACAGGGAGTGTGTTGGTGGAAAGGCTCTTCAACGATGCCAGAGCTCTGCTCTTGGATGCAGCTTAAGTGGAGCTCTCTGAAGTTTGATGGTAGTAGGTCATTGAGCTGTTTAGATCGCCCTTCTGCACTTCAACACATCTAAAGTACCAGAGTTGTAAGTTGATATCTTCTCAATGGTGCAGGATAAATGATTGTCTGACCGAGGATATTAACTACAAAATATGCTTTCAAAGCAGCAGTCCAACATATTTCATTTATCAGTAAATATGATGGAGGAGCTTAAAAACAGTTCCTTAGCTGATTGAAGAACCAAAACAATAGTCTGTCAGTTATCTATTCAATTTAACCTTTATTTTACCAGGAAAGAAGTCCATTGAGATGTGGAATCTTTTTAACAAGGATGGCTTGGCCAAGAAAAAAAAAATTAACATGCAGCTAAAAGAATGTGGGGGAAAAAAGCCTTAACAGAAAGTAAAAAACATGATTTAAGCAAAACATTGTACCGCTATGGGGTTTCCTGTTAATGAATTCTGCATTACAAGGGGATCTTTCAGTCTAACGAGCGGGGTATAAACATTAAATTTTATTATGGTTGTGTCAGAAATATTCTAAATTTTTACATGGAAAGAAATGGTCGCATTGGAGAAAACAAAAGTGGAGCCAGAAGATTGTAACATGCATTATCTTTCTATAATAAAGTCGAACGCTTGAGAGCTTTTTGCTCTGCAACTTTTGGGCTCTTCACTGCTCCCACACATGTAAATGAAATCAATGAATCCCCTAATCAGTGATTCACCTCTGGACTGACTTGGTAACCCGTCATTCATTTGAGTCCATTGTTATGGAGAAGTGATGCATCTAAGAGTTGCAGGAAAGTCACAGAAAGAACCTTGGCTCTAGTTTACACTAAAACTTGAAATAGAAACTGTACAAAGCAAGACGCACAATGTTTTGCTTGTGCTAATATGCTTTAAATTTGATAAACTTCGAATCACACATGGCGAACAGTATAGAATCAATCAAATTAAAAACAGATGCTTATATATAAAGGAGACTTTTGAAGTCAACTAAATTCATTTCATCCTATTTTGTCTAAACCTTAGGCTTTATTAAACAACGTATGCCAAATGCTGTTGTCCTGAGATATTTCTGCAATGGACAATGGAACAAACCCAAAATGATTGTTTATAGTCATATTATAGTTTATAGTCACCACATATAGGGAATTCAAACAAACAAGTCAAATGTATCATACTTTATTTTAAATATCTTTAAATCAATTTGTCTTTATATATAACAAGTGTACAATTAATTCTAGAAACATACATACAAGTCATTAAATCAGTCATTTGTTTCGTTTTTTTTCCCTGAATCACGTCGTACCAAGCAGCAGTTTAAAAATAACTGTATGAAACCATGAATAAACCTTATTCTAAACAAGAATGTTTATTTTGACATTGAATACAAACATACTGAGGTGTAGCTCCTCCATCTAAGTGGCTATTTTTAGATTTTGAGTCAAGATCTTCCAAACACAAGTTGTCTCTTCCTGGCATGACTGTGGTGACCTTCCAGCAGTCCAGGTGCTTAATTACTTTTCTTCTTGCAAGCACTGAAATACTGTGACTTAAAGGTTAACTTCTCTCAGCTGCTATATGCCAAATAGTTTAAAATGAACAAAGGTTGATCGCCTCAGTAGTTCAAAGTGTTTGAAATCAGTTTGCAGCGTTCACAGAAAATCTCACATGAGAAGAAGCCTAAATATCACTTCCCTCTGATGAGCTAAATGACAAATCTGGAAGGGATGAAATGTGATGTGATGTTACTGCTTGATGCATTAAAACAAGGTGTATGTAGAATAATCACAGGCATATCAGTATCACAAGCAAAGCTGATGTGTAGCTATAAAAGAACTAAAATGGTGATTTAAGAGACCATCTCAGATTGAAAATCAAATCATGGCAATGGTGCATCGTTGAGTAAAATAACTAAACCTAGCTCCGTTTATCAATCAGCGTAATGCTGTTCTGAGTTGGAAATAATATATATAAAAAAACAAAAACAAAATCATACTGATGCCGACTGCACATATTTTACTCAGATCTCACCAGAGTCTTTTAGAATTGAAACTATTTGCACTGCAATTGACTCTACCCATGATTTAGTTTGTTAAAACACCAATAACTGGGCAATGGTTTTAAAAGTACACAGGTCACTGACCATGTCATTTGCTTCACATGCCGTTTCTGGGTTAAACGGTCCTAAGCCAAGCTCAGCAAGGTGCAGGTTGAGGACACACTTGAGGAGCGCTCATGGACCAGGTTGTTATTGTCTAAAATGCCTGAGACGAACTGTGCTGATGAAGTGGTGCTCCACCCCAATGTCTCAGCCAGCTCAGGACAGAGGGACAGAGCCAGCCTCCGCAGGATGAGGTGGAACTTCCTTCGAAAGTTTTTGTTTATCCAGAAGTAGAAGATGCAGTTGAGGAAACCATTGGAGGTTGGGAGCCACACCACAACAAACTCGACCCACTCTGGTACACTGCTCCCAGAGACTGCTGTGGAAAATATGGAAAATAAGTTATTAGACTGATGACAGAAATAACACAGGTGCTCAGTTTCCAAAGAATGCTTACTTTTGATTAAAACGACTGTACAAAGCTATACTTAATCATTTAACATTTTGAAATATATATCATTGTGTTAAGGTACTTTTTTATTATTTTATAAAATAAAACATCCTGAGAGCAAAACCTTTTCTTTGTTTCCTGTAGGATGTTTAGTTTTCTTTATACCATTTTTTTTTTTTTTCAATCAGCACCTTCTATCCTGGCACTGGCAACACTAAACAGTGTGCCTGGGTATAATGTAAACAGAGTATTTAACTGCACACATAAAGAGGAAAAGCCATCTGAAAAACCCTTTCTAAAGAAAAAGAAAATCCAGCCGCAACCCGATTAAAGTTCTGAAATTTAGATGATCATCTTTAAAGTCCTGCTTTGTTTTATGTTCTACTGTAAATGTAATTTTAGTAAAATATAATGTATACATTTAATATATGGAGCAGTTAAACACTGAATATGCTGGTTGCTATGAGAGGACTCTCTAATACCTAGAATCAACCTGTAGTTCTGGCAGAATTTTTACTTGCAGAAACATAAATCATTACGGCCAAGAGTTGTCAGCAAGGTTTATTACATGTTGTGTCTGATAGACATGAATTTTATTCTAAACAGTCTCAATAAAACCAATCAAATAAGGTAGCAGAAATTAGATGTTTAAAAAAAAAAAAAAAAAAAGAGGGGGGGAGGGGATTTATTATTCCACAAGAGACGTCTATCACAAATAAATTGGATTCCTAGTGAAATACATCCATCAACCTTCAGATCAAATACCACAGACATTATAAGATACACAAAGGGCAATAGCTCAAATAAACATATTTTGGAAAGCATACTTCTGTATTAAGACCTGAACCAACATCAACAGCAGAAACTAAATATTACGTGGAAAATAAGTATTTAAAAAAATCTGGCATACAGCTAACAATATTTTTTCCCCCCCAAATGTTTGTTTACATCTAAGATTTATATCATCTTTATTTTAAACACATACGGTAACACGTCTCATCTGTTCCTGATATTTGCACCGACTCTAAATAATTTTTCACTTTACAGTAATTTAGGTCATGACCAAGTAGCTGAGGCTTAGTTGAACCAAGTAAAGTGCTTTACTGTGAGGCTTGTAAGCATTTAGAAGAGTGCACACTTGCAGTTTAAATTAAGACTCTCAGCTTCACTTTGCAGGGATTTTCATCTGTATCTGATAGATTAAAGCCCCAATTCGATAAAAAAGGGAAAATAGGTCTTCTCTTCTAAAAATATTCAGGCACAACTTCACTTTCACACAGATTACTCCAAGACAGCAAATAATTGGGATGAATTGGAAAAAGTAAAAAAAAAAAAAAAAAGCCTGAGTCATAGCCGCACTTTAAAGTACATTCATGGCCATGCTTACATAAATAACTCTTGACAGCTATTCTGCCCACAAACTTGGCACAAACTGACAAACTTGAAGGGGGAGATGACGACAAGATGTTTCATTTTGAAAGACAGATGTCTTGCTCACTTCGAAACAGCAAAGCTTAAAATATTTTCACATATGAAGCTGGTATAATTTGCACAGACATCAAGCAACATGTGAAGACTATATAGTATCATTATATTTGATTCTAAGTGCTATGCATGTCTTAAGTCATCACTGGGACATACAGCAATAACTGTATGTCCTGTATAAGTCTGTCTCATGACCAACATGCAGAAACAGTTCAATTAGAATACAATCAATAAAGTTATTTCTTTAGTTAAATTAAAAACATAAAATATCATTATATATTCTAGTTCATTTCTGTAGACTTTGTTTGCAGCTAATAACTCAAAGTTCAGGTCCTCGGAATTAAAATATCACCCTTTGGTGCTTTTATATATTTATTATTATTATTTAAAGAAGAGTAATTCACAACCGTGGAAAGTTGAGCAGAATGTAAAAGTGTTGTAAAATAAAAATAAAAAAAGAGGGCTGCAAGAGCAAACGTGATCACTGCAATCTTGAGAGGATTTTAAAATACAGTCCATTCAAGAAATGAAGAGAGGATTCTCAAGCTGTGAAATGTGTCTAAAATTTAGAGTCGCCCACCAGATGTATCCTTGATATGGGCTGATGCCCAGGGAGTATATGCTCTATATTACCTGGGAAGGTTCTCTTTAAAAAATTTACTAATTAATTAGAATCAAGTGCTGCATTACTTAGCAAAGAGCCACAACATAGTAAATTACGGAGATGCCAATTTTATTTTCCTGCAGCACTTTACACCTCCTAACTCAAAGATTACCAGCTAAAAGTGCCAGTACCTGGCTTAACTGGGGCGAGTATTGGTCTAGTGGTTAGAGCAGTGCGCTTGTGCTCTGAGAAGGTTGCAAGTACCTGGTTCGATCCCACTGCCTCCACTCTGGGTTCAAGAGCAAAACCCTTAACCCCACACTGCTCCCTGGACGTCAAACAATGGCAGCCCACTGCTCCCCAATGGAATGGGTTAAATGCAGAGGTACATTTCTCCAAAGGGACATCAATCAAGTTAAATTAGTATTATTGTTATGAATTACCATTAATATTTTTAGAATAATAGCCTGTCCAACTGGCTTGCCTAAAAGTCCTGTAGTATAGTAAATATAAATTTTGCACCTATGGAATTTTATCCAATTTTCAGGAAAGTAGACATTATGTCGCACTACACTCAAACTCTAAATGCTTCACTTCATACATAACTAAATTAACTTTGCAGTATTAATCTAAGCCTGGTTCTGCTTGAAGTTTCTTCCTGTTAAAAGGGAGTTTTTCCTCTCCACTGTCACTACAAGCATGCTTAGTGTGAGGGATCTCATTCCAGTCAATGAGTCGATGCAATCAACTGGTTTTCCTTAGATAGAAAACTTTGAATCAGTTTGACTGTATGATCTGGTGACCTGTAAAGCGCCTTGAGATGACATGTGTTTTGAATTGCCGCTATATAAATAAACTGAATTGAATTGAATATTCTAATATATCATAAGGTATTATAATAAGGAATCTAGTCTCCAGAGAAACAAAAAGATCTGATTATTTCAAAAACTGAACTTTGCCAAGCGTTTGTGGTTTATAGAGAGTCTAAACAGATTTGGGTTAATTAAATGTCTAAAAGTCTTAATTAAATGGAACTGTTGGTTAAAAAAAACAATTACTTTTATAATACTTCCTTAATGCTGATTGGCTGTAATGCTCTGCTTACCATTGTAGATCATAACCGCCATGCAGGGTGTCCAACAGGTGTAGTACACTGCCATGACTGGGACAAGCACTCTTGCAGCAACATTGTGCCTACTGCGCAGCGCACAGCCGTATTTGCGCAGTTTCAGCCTCTGTCTCTTGGCTGCGCACCAAACTCTCAAGTTTGCATACGTCATAACAATAGAGCAGGGGAAAAATATTAAACAGGTCAAGCTCAAAGTGTAGGCAACGTTCGTAGAGTAAGACGGGTTGCAGACCAGCGATGCGTTGGAAAAGTGAACCTCGATGATGCCGTTTGGGAAGGTGATAGGAGACAGCAAGAAGAGAGGGAAGCACCAAGCGAAGGCGATCAGGGACAGAGTCCGCTTTCTGGTCATGAGAGTGGAGTACTGCAGCGGGTAAAACACTGCGATGTATCTCTCTAGGCTGATGGTGGCCAGCGTGTACATGCAGGTGGAGTAGACCGTGGCGTTGCAGAAAGCAACCACATGACAGAGAGTGTCCGGGCCCTCACTGTAGTCCTTCAGCAGACTCACCGACAGGTTCAGCGGCATGATGAGCAAACCGAAGGCAGAGTCCGCTGCGGTGAGAGACAGGAGGAAGTACCTGGAGTTTCTGGACCAGCCAGCCACAGAGGAAGTGATGACCAGGAGAACTGCAATATTTCCCAAAGTGATCATCACTCCCAGCACGATAATGACGCTTACTTTGGCGGAGCGGTGGGTTAGGTCCTGCAGATGGTCTGAATCCGACAGGTTGGAGAGGTTAGGTGTTAAATACATTGCTTCTTATTTAAGCACAAGATTCAGAGTTGGGGGAAAAAAACAAAAAAGTGACCAAAGATTGGACTACATTTGGGAGAAACATACAGCACGTTCTCTTCCAGTGGTGGGACAGAAATCACACCTGCAGCAATCAGTGGCAGGAGTTAACAGCCCATTACAGCAGTTAAACCTGCAGCATGCTTGGAAAATGTCTAATCTAAGTATTCCTTTAAGCAAAAGTGAGGGTAAATCTATAATTCAAAATAAAATCTGTAAGATTTGGCAGGAACAATGCGATAATCATGACACTGGTAGAGATCTATATAAAATTCACAAGACTGTGGGGGGTAAGAGTTATACAAAAGGAAGGCTGAAAGAAAAGGTAATAATATCTCGACTTAGAATTGGTCATACTGGACATAATAGTTATCTTTTCAGAATAGGGAAACATGACACAGGGACTTGTAATCATTGTAATCAGATAGAAAAATTGGAACATATATATATTCACAGGAAGGTCAGCATTTAAAGTTAGAAAAAATTGGATTTTCAATGATAAACCTTCTAGGAAATACATCTAATTCTGCTAGAAATCAGTTAATTAGATTGTTAAAAAACACTGGATTATTTAATCGTATATAAATAAAGAGTATAAGTGTGTATATGCATGTGAATATTCACACATATTAATTTATATGTACGTTTGTATAGATATTGATTCATAGAGAATATGCAGTTTTGTTCATACCATTGAGGTATGAAATAATAACTTCCCTCCGACATCATTGATAACCACACTCCAGTCTGGTAGGTGGTGTTAAATAAACGTTAAGTTGGTTGCCATCCACCAAAAAAAAAAAAACAACAGAAGAAGAATAAGAAAGTGTCTCATCTATAGGAGTTTAGAAAGGCTAATATTTCATCTCTATCTGTTCAATCTGAAAAATTCCTCATCCTCTGCAGCACCTGCAGACAGAAACATCTTTTTTTTTCTCCTTTTTTTTCCAATAATGGAACATTTAGCTAAATTATAATTCAAATGCAGCAGATTATCCAACCAGACAATAGTAAAATTTACAAATCTCAGAATTTTAGGGATTAAAGCACAGAAATTAGTGAATAAGTTGAAACTTATAGAAATTTTTTTTGTCTTTCATCGTGTGTTCATTTGAAAATCTTACTGACTTATCACCACAACCTGCTTAATGTGATAAGAGATAACGGAACCTCATTATTCTGTTATGGCTTTTGAACTTGTGCATAGACTGCATGAAATAGGACCCAGTTTGCACAGATGGATTGGATGGCTGGCTTGCTTGCTCGCTTTGAGGCTTGGTCTTTTACCCCAGGAACTGGGCCTGAGGAAAGAAAAGATAAGAAGTGCCTCAATTGTCTCACAGATTGTGGACTTACACACAAGACTACATAATATGAGAAGAACAAAAATTTAAAGTTTAAGGTGTACAGGAGCCTGGAAACGAAAAAACTTGTATGAAAGGAACTAATGATAGAAAGGCAATTCAGGTAAAAACATTTAAAGAATAGAAATGTTCAAGTTTAAAAAAACTACCCAACTGAATTTTTTTAGGCTTCCCAATTATACAGTCCAGGTAAGAATGTCTGAAAGGCTTTTTTATCAGTTAAATTCTCTAAGGGCAGGATGACATGTCTATTTTTTAATGTAATGACCTTGATTCAAATTTCAGTTTATTTAAGACATTATTTGGTCTGTGAAGTTTGACATACACAGATTATAAAGGCTTGTTTGTAGTGCAATTACCCCTCCTAAGCGAAAACTGAGACATCTGAGCCACCAGGATATCTCATCATTGAAGTTTTGTTTTCTTCCATTTACTTGTGCAGTTACATTTTTGGTGAGATTGGGATTTTTTAACATTAGCACAAGGTTTTGTTTTGTATAAAAATATATTTTTAGATAAAATTTTAAGAGATTGGTCAGAAATGAAATTGCTTAAATGTGAAAATTGTTTTTTCAAATAACATTGAAAAAAGTCAAGATTATTAGAATAAAATTCTGCTTTAGATGTAGATGCTTGGATGTATCTGAACATCAATCAAAGACAGATAATGGGGGTTTCATAACTGGTTAAGAAAAAAAGTTGTCTGGAAACATGAAAAGCAAACCGTTTTTACCTTGATAATTAAGAGTTTAGGATCTATGATGAAAATTACATTATATCTTCTTGGTAGCTTGTGTTTTCATTTGTTTGTCTTGTGGAACTACGAATACTGTCGTGATGGCTGACAGAGACCAGCCTAACATAGTCAGTTGTGTTTAAATGGTACAATCTGTCATTTGTTTTTGTTTCTAAAATCCAACATGGTTCTCTAAAAGACATTCAGCATTTCTTGTACCACATACTAAGAGTGCAATTCATCAATATGAAAGCCCACATTAATGTGCATGTTTCCCATGTCATACATCATAAAAGATTTTAAAGATAAAAAAAATCCTCTAGATGATTTCCATTCTCACTATAGAGCAAAATGTGCCTCAGCCATTTTCTGAGGTGGGTAGGTACCAAAGGGTTACTTAAGAGTAAAACTACTGCAATATATTTTTATGAATGAAAAAGTTAAAAGTAATCATCCAATCAAAGCACTTGTAAAAACATGTTTTGTAGATTGTTAAAGTAAAATTTCATTTAGTATTTAATGATAAATCAGTTGAATGAAAAACAATACCTTTTCTGGTCAATTCTGGTATTCTAAAAATGCCAAATAATAGAAAAGAACAAATCAATACCAAAATAACATTATGACAATCCATTCTCAGTAATCTATTAATCCTTAACTGGAGCACACCAACTAACTTTTAATAATTATATAAACCATTTGCATTTAAGATTAAAAAAAAAAAAAGTCTGGGAATATGTTCAATCCGGAACTCCTCAAGTGGAATAATTTTAGCTTCACCTGGTTTAAATTCTGTATAAAATTTTCTTTAAGGCACCTCTTTCTATCTAATTTAATTGAAAAAAGAATCATGACATTGTGTAGCAAAAAAATCATTAGTTGCAGCTCTCCAATATATATACTGATGTCATCGGGAAATAGCAAGTAACTTAAGATAAGATTTTGCACAAGCAAGTATTTAACTTTAACATAAACTGTTTCTGTTCCATTTTTAGCTAAATTATGTTTAATCTTCATCCAGCTAAACTGCAAATATAGCAATTAGGTTCCCTCTGGGAAAAGCTGCAGCACTGATGTTTCTCAGCTTCTCTTAAACACATCTAGAAATTTAATCTATTCAGCCTCAATTATGAAGTGAACACGCTCATGGTGAAAATGTGCAAAAAATGTGAACACATAGGGCCGGATCTATCAAAGGTTTGCGTGTATAAAAACATGAGCTATTTCACTGCGCACGCTAAAAAA